CTCCCGCGTCCGAGGGCCGTGAGGGGCCCCGGGGTCGGGGGAAGCCGGGGAGGACAGCGCGCCCGGACGGCGACGTGAGGCGTGGGACTCCGAGAGGAGTCTCCCTTCCTCCCCGCACAGACGCAGCCCCGGAAGCCAGTGTCCTCCCGCAGAGCTGCTGTTCTCCCCGCAGACACACGCTGTACCCGGCGCTCGGGCTCGTCCTCCTCGCCTGGGAACAACACCCACGCCGGGAACCGGGGAGAGGCGCTGGCAGGGCCCACTTTTCTAGGCGATCCTGTTTAATAGCCCTGCCGACCTTGCTGCGCCCTCTTTACCACCAGCCTCGGGGCGAGGACCGGTGCTCTGGCACCTCTGCCCTTCCACGCAGCTTCCGCAACTACTACTTATCACTCTTCACACGCAGTTCAGTACCGAAAATTCGAGAGCCACGCTCCACAGAAAGGGCCTTCGACCTTAATATCTACCACCTGAGCCATTCCCCCGACTTTCCTCTTTGGACTTGAGAGGCAGAAAGGAAAACATTCGTTCTTGGCATTGAGCTACTCTTCCCTTGGAGCCTGTGGTCGGTAGGTTCACTTTCCTTAAAATAGTTGAATGGTGCTGGGCTCTGGTGGTTCACATGTCATCCTAGCTACTCAAGAGACAGATCTGAGGATCGCAGTTCAAAGCCAGTCCCGCAGGAAAGTCCCTGAGACTCTCATCTCCCAATAAACGACCGGAAAACACGTGGTAGAGTGCTAGCCTTGAGTGAAAAAGCTCAGGGACAACGCGCAGACCCTGAGTTCAAGTTCCATGCACACCATCACCACCAACAAAAATCATTTGTTGAGAATGCACCTTTCCTCCACAAGTCTGGGAAATATATGGCTTCCTGTTTCCTGCCAGCAGTAAGACAGTATAGAGCAAACCAGGGCTAAAGGTCTGGACAAGTGAGAGATGACCATGTCACCACTGTTTCTCAACAAAACCACATGGCCAAAGGTTGTGTGGAATGTGGATCTTGTAAGCAATTTCTCCCAGCTCCAGTCCTACCAGTGTTTACGTGATGTATACCTTGTGCACAGCCCCATTATGCAGCCAGATGTAAACGTCCAACAGCGATGCTGAGATTTAATTGAAAACCAAAAGAGATTTAATTGAAAACTGAACTTGGGGGTCAAATGATTATAGACTCTGACCAACAAGCTCTGTTCCTGGTTCCCTCTTTCCCAAGGTCTCTTCTGGCAGCCCCAGGTCTGCAGCTTTGAAAGGTGATTTCAGTTCCTGCCCCTGTGGCTGGGGACATCTAAGTCATCACCCTGATTTCATGTGCCTGCTGTTAGTGACTTAAAAGCTCAGCTCTGACTCCATCACAATCCTGCACTGGGAAATGGAAAGGAAATTTCCTTTTTTCTTTTCTTTTTTGGTACTGGTCCTGGAGCTTAAAATCAGGGCCCAGGCACTATCTCTGAGCTTTCTTTCTCTCTCTCAAAGCTGTGCTCTACCTCTTTGAGCCACAGTGCCACTTGTGGTTTTCTGGTGGTTAATTGAAGATAAGCAGCCTAGCTTTGAACCACGATCCTCAGATCTCAGCCTCCTAAGTAGTAGAGATTACAGTCGTGAGCACCCTGTGCTGTCTCTTTTATTTTAATTAGCCTAACTTCGCTTTGTTTGCTCTGTGTGTGTGTGTGTGTGTGTGTGTGTGGTCTCATTCCCTTTTTTAAAGTGTGATGTTGTATGATATGACATGTATCTATTCGGTGAGCTCCAGTCACTGATCACAGGGAAATCTTGTTAACATGTACTTGGGTGACTGCCTGGGAGGAAGGGACACAAAACATAGCTTGTGAGTAAAGAAAGGTTCTCCTTGGCTTAACTCTCTGCAAACATCCTGCTTTCAAGAAGTCTCTATATTGTTGAATAGGTGTAATAGAAGTAGGGTTTCTCTTAGCTAGTTACAGATCTGTGATCTCAGTTTGAGGCTAGCCCAGGCAGAAAAGCCTATGAGACTCCAATGAACCAGAAAAAAAAAGCAAGACGTGGAGCTATGGCTCAACTGATAGAGTGCTAGCCTTGAGCAAACAAGTCAGTGTCATCACTCATATCCTGAGTTCAAGCTCCAGTACTGGCATGCATGTGCATGTGTGTGTGCACGCTAATTCACAAGTTCTATGGGAAAAAAGTTCTCTATATTCAGTGATGAGTAATCATGGAAATGTCCAACATCCCACAATGTCTCCTGTGGACTCCCTGCCTTCAGGCCTGTGGTCACAGGTAGCCTGCCACATGGATCAGCAGTGACACACACCTCCTGAACACAGAAGTTCCTCTGGTGACCACCTACCTCCCATCTCTGCTCCAATTTTCTCAACAATGCTGATCTTTAACCCATATGTGCTATATTCTTATTTCAGTACTGTGAGCCTAACAAGTCATATAACATGTACAGCAGATAGGCTTAGTTATAGTCTTGTAAGGGAAAAAAAAACCCAACCAACCAAGATAATATTTAAATTTGTTGTAACTGTGCCTGTCCTGGGCTTGAAGTAAAGACTATGTGCTCTTGGTTAGGTTTTTGATTCACGGATAGCAATCACAATTTGAGTCATGGCTCCATGTCCAGGTTTTTGGTATTTAATCAGAACTAAGTGTTTCACTGAGTTTCCTGCCTGGACTGACTTCCTGCCAATCTCGGCCTTCTCAGTAGGATTAAAGCCACCATAGCCTTGTTCTGAGATAACTTTTCAAGAGAGCTCTGATCACCCAGTTGGAGCGTGGAAACAAAATGCTAAGAATCCCTTTCTGGCATCTGGCTATTCTGTAAGTTGTCTAGTACTTAGATTCACTTTGGAAAACATGTCTATTATTTCTTTTCTTTCATTTACCAACAAAATCTGATAAAAGAAAAAAAAGCAAAACCACAGTAAGTAACATCAATTATGACGTTTGGGTTCCATTCTTTTTGCTGGGACCCTAAAGGGTTTTCTTTTCAATTAGTTTTAATCAATTTATCTTTTTGAGCTGGTACTAGGGCTTGAACTCAGAGTCTCATGCTCTTGCTTAGATTTTTGCTCAGAGCTGGTGCTGTACCACTTGAACAACATCTCCATTTCCAGCTTTTTGATAGTTTATTGGAGATAACAGTGTCTTGTATTTGACTATCTAGGCTGGCTTTGAATTTTGGGGGGGGGCAGAGGGAGGAGGTTGTGGGTCTTGAACTCTGAGTCTGGGTGCAATCCCTCAGCTCTTCAGCTCAAGACTAGTGCCCTTATCACTTGAGCCACAGTGTCACTTCTGGTTTTCTGGTGGTTTATTGGAGATAAGAGTTTCCATAGACTTTCCTGCCTAGGCTGGCCTTGAACCATGAGCCTCAGATCTCAGCCTCCTGAGTAGCTAGGATTACAGGCATGAGACATTGGTGCCTGACTTGGCTTTGAATCTTGATATTTAAGTCTCAGCCTCCTGATTACAAGTATGAGTTACTGATGCCCAGCAGGATTGATTTGACCTAATTTATACACTCTAGCTTTGAAACACTAATCTTTGTTTTCAAATCTACAGTTAGGATTTCCTTAGAACGATCTTTAAATTTTGGGGAACACCACTATACAACCAATAAAGTTCCAAGAGGAGTAAATAAACATAGCTTAAGGCTTAAGGCAAAAATAATACTTTAGTGGAAAATATTAAAGAACATTAATGGCTCTCAAATCTTTGATTTATGTTAAGAAAACAAAATCCTAACCTTGGACTTATGAAAAACATGACAACATGCATCAAGCTGTTTCCTACTACTTCTAGGGAATTAATGTCAATTGCTTTCCAAATATTTCCTAAATCAGTCTAAGGGGCCTGGCAGAGAGAAAATCTAAAATAACCCTCTGAATTGATTTCCACTTTTAGCAAATGGATATGTTGCCAAGGCAATCAGTAGCAGTTTTGTCATCAGCTCTGTAAACTGAAGCTGGATCAGGTCTCCAAAAGGAGGCTGTGAACATGGAGGTGCTGAAAACCACTCTCCATGGGTACTGAGGGCTAAGGTGTTTAATTCACATGTTCATCTTACCTGCCATTTGGGGTATATGGTGAGTATATAGGTCTGCATCCTATTCTTCTTGAGAGGAACTCAAATTTGGTGTGGGAGGTGGAGACTAGGTGAGCACTGGGCAGTAGGCTGGCAGTGAGTAATTTGTGCACAGAAAGGTAGGAGTAGCTCCTGTAATCAGGACTCTTACCTGGGCACTGGTGGCTCATACCTATAATTCTAGCTACTCTTGAGGTTAGGATCTGAGGATGTGGGTTTGAGGCCAGTCCTCAAAGACAAATCCAAGAGACTTATCTCCAGTTAACCAGCAAAAAGTTAAGGAGTGGCTCAAGCGGGAGAGTGCCAACCTTGAGCAACAACAACAAAAAAAGCTAAGTGAGAGCACTAGGCCCAGATTCAAGTCCCAGTACCAACATACACACAAATTTAAATATATATAAAATAAAATAAACTGTATAATTGTTATATATAATATTTGTATAACATATGCAAAATATTCATATGTAAATTTAAAATGTAAATATGTAATCTATAATAAAATAGATGTACAGGAATATGATATAT